GCTGCGTGCTCCCAATTCTGGATGGTGATGTAAAGAGACACAAGGTTTATACTGGTTCGAGCAATAGATGCCCTACGTCCAGTCTGAGAAGATGTTCTTGTATTCCTTGCACCGGGGTGCTCGTAGTAGGGGGTTACAAGCTAGGCGAGAGAGGGAGTTCGTCCCAAGTCTCTGTGAGGGGATGTGATATGAATTACAGAATGCGGCGTGTTGTTCGTGCGAGTGTTCATGACTCTATCCGCCACCGTAGAAACGGTCCTGGCTGCCTCCTTTTATAGCCGTAGGGAGGAAACCAGGAGTACATAAGAGAGCTACACGTAGAGCAAGGACTATTCGATGACGTATTTATTCCTGGAGCAGCATGGCATTATCGTGGGAGTTCCCGTAGATGTCTAATCGGTATGGTCTCCACTGCAAGTAACATGCTGCGCATTTGTTGACTTGGTGGATTGCATAGGCTCGGCGGCCATCGTAGCCGGTCGTGCCGAGGCCTATTGTGCCGAGGCCTGCCGTGCCGAGGCCTACCGTGCCGAGGCCTGAGAAGTGACCCAGGTGCAGATGCGGGTCTCAGCAGCCATCAGGCAGAATAGTGCGAGACGTGCGCCTACAGGATACGGTACCTGTATTGTCAGTAAGGGATGGTAAAAAAGATGATCTGACCGTTGTCCCGTCGCGTTGCAGCGCACTGTCGATCGTGGCTTACGTAGCGGGTGCAGCTGAGCGCATTAATCGGATGCGACAGCCTACCAGAGAGACTTTTGAGGCGGAGGCGACGAGGTTGCGGGACAAGCCCGGCCTCGGGCGAGGCGGAGCGTGGCCAATTCGTCCGAGGCCCTACCGGGGGGTCTCGGGCGGCCCTGTCGAGGGGGCTAGGGCGAGACGGAGTGGTCGGTCCGCTGATTCCGAGGCTACAGGAACCCGTTCTGACTCCCCACGTTGCGATGTCCTTGGTGCAGGAGTTAGGCAGCACAGTGGTCGGTAACCCCCGCTCTATGCCGTCGCAGATGGCAGGAGGTTGACGTGACTGGCGTGTAGTCGGTCACTTCGCTGTACTGTGCCATCGTGTGTCTATCGGAGTGGTTGGGCGCTTGGATGCGACGTTCGGTCAGAGCAGTTTGGTTGAAGAGGCAGCCACGGGGCTGGTGCCGAGCCGGCCTCGCATGAATCGGAGAATCGGCACTTCTTCCGAGGCCCCCGACGAGGGGGCCTCGTCGAGGCGGTCTCGGGCGAGTCAGAGAATCGTTCGCTTCCGCTGGGGCGACGGGGTCTCGGGCGAATCGGAGATTTCAGCCGAGACCTCGTTCGTTTATTCCGTTGGTTCTGTTCTTAGGGTCTAAGTAGTTTTTCGACCTTTGCTTGGGGTACCCTATTTTCGGGTATCCGACACCCTGTCACTGGAAGTCCCCCCAACCAAAGGCCTAAAATAGCCTTCACGTCCTGCAACGTCAAGGTCATCTCGCCACAAGGTAGGTGAAACGTGTGGGTCTCAGGCCTCCACCTGTTATAAGAATAGAATGACCGTTAGTTTCCTCAAATTTGTTACAAGAAAGTTTACGTACAAAGAATGCACTCGCACCTGTCTACAGCTGCAGTAAGTAGTGCTGGGTCAAGGGGCGGAAGACCGTGGTTGACAACACGGACAAGCTCGAGGAAACCGGCACGCCGTATGTACGGCGTATAACGCTCGTTCCACTGATGCCCCCTGGTGTGCGTGCGGGGCCTCAAAGGATACAAGGACACCTCTGCGTCGTTGTCACTCAAGATGTGTGCTCGATGCTAGTCATCGTACTCCACCTCAAGAATGAGGTGCAACGGGTGCTGCGTGGGAGGGGCCATCCTGTTACAAATTGATAAACAAAGCGTTAGAGTATTCAAATTAACAAAATTCAAGTTAACATTAGTAAGCTCACAAACAAATCACTAACAAAATCACTAACCTAACTAGCCTAAATCCCTAAACCCAAAATCCTAACTATACTAGATAATAAATACATAATCAATGCATATAAAACTTTGGTTCCAAAATTACAAGTAATCCCTCCGTCTCAAAATAAATACACATCGTGCTTCTCGAGTAGTCAAATATATTTAAGTTTGATCAAAACTAAAAAAACGGTATCAATATTTGTATCTCCTAATAAGTTTATTACGAAAGTATACTCCATATTAATGTAATAGTACATATTATGTATCATAAATATTAGTACGCTATTAGGAGATAACACTAGTCGTTCTCCGTCACATAACAATAGTCGTTCGTTGTGCATTTATTTAGGACGGAAGGGGTACTTCCTCCGTCACATAACAATAGTCGTTCTAAGATATCGCAAAGACACTAATACTTAATGAAAATAGCCTCGATGCCCCTAGATGCTCCTTACAAATGCTAGCACTAGCAGACCATCATCAACTCTTTTGCTTCTGCGTCGGCCGCTCGAGGATTACGAGGGCACGTGGGGTACCTTAGGAATAAAAAAATTCTAACTATACTAGATAATAATAAAAAAATATAAAATCGAGATGGAGGTACCTTAGGAGCGGGCGGCCTTGACGCGCCGGCGTTCGTGGCGCGGCCGGCTAGGGCGCTGCGCGGCGTGGGCGAGCGGTCGAGGCCGGGCGGGCGCGGGCGCGTGCGGGCGCTGGCGACGGCGGCGGCGTGCGGGCGGGCGGGCTCGCACGCAGTATATATTTGGTCCAGCCACGCCACGGATCAGGGCGCGGCACTGTCGCGCCAAGGTCGGTGGCGCGGCCGGACCAGCCACGTCATCGGTCCCCCAGTCCGGCCCTCGCTACGTCAGCCCTCTGCCACGCCACCATGCATTGCGTGGCACAGGTATTTGGCCGCGCCAGGGCAATAGGCGCGGCCAAAATTGTTAGTTTTAAAAAATTATCCGACAGTGTTAGATTTAAAATTACATTCAAAAAAGGGTTAAAATTAAAAAAAATCTTAGGAGACAACCTGTTTAGTTGGAAGTCTGTGCCTGAGAAGGATAATGAAAATATAGAATATATTCATATCTATTGTGACTTCAATATTATCTGAGTAATATACAGCATTATAATATAAACCAACAAAATTATAAATTAATACATTTTAAATTAATAAATAAAAATATAAATATTTTAAAAATATTATTAACTACCAATGCACACACATCATAGCGATGCTGCTGGACTGGTGTATTAAAAAGAACAAGAAAAATAAACAATGGGAGTGTTTCACAGATAAAACAGAACCTAGACGTATGGTAACCAACTAGCATGCTGCAGCCAGGCGCTCGTTTTCGGTGGCCTGGCTGACGCTACGCATGCCTGGTCCAGGCACATCTTCAGGGCTCCAACCGAACATACATATGACAGGCAACGTTCAGGAAGATCTAGGCCAGGCAGAATTGATCCAGGCTACAAACCAAACAAGCCCGCAGCGTGCCAAGGTGAATTACGTCGACAGCGATGTGTTTTATTTGGTGCACCACGTGTACGTTGTTCGCAATCTGGTGCGTCGACTTCTCTGCAGCTTGCATCAGTCCAGCAGAGCCGTCCCGGCCTGCACGTGCGTGAATGAACGTGATAGGTGTGAAAAAAAATGGCCTTCTGAGCAATTCAGTCAAAAACGGATAGGATGGAGAGCGCATACGTGTACCACGCATGTCCACGTCACGTTACATGCATCCCCCGTGGAGACGTGTGTCAGTGTCACCAATGCACCACCGGGCCGGAATCGTACGTATACCTACTTTCTCAGATCGGATTCATCAGTTTCTGATGCCAAGTTTGCATTGGGTGCGCCACCGTACCTAAGCTATGGGTTCCAAATAAAAAATCAGCAGTGTTCTTCTACGCCGACACGTAGGGCGACGTGCCCAAAGTTCCTAGGGAAACTAAGCACAACGCCGCGCCGCCCTAGTTGTAGTTGTTGTACAACACAAGTTGAATTTAGGTAACTTTAGATATTGCAGATACGGTTAATTCTCAGCCTGAGATGATTAGATAAAAGAGATCAAGGGAGATTTTAACTAAGCCCTTGTTTAGTTGGGTGAATTTGGATTTTGGGGCTACTGTAGCACGTTCGTTTTTATTTGGTAAATAGTGTTCAAACATGGGCTAATTAGGCTCAAAACGTTCGTCTCGCAATTTCCCACCAAACTGTATAATTAGTTTTTATTTTCGTCTACATTTAATGCTCCATGCACGGGCCGCAAACATTCGATGTGACAGGTACTATAGCAACTTTTTGGACTTTGAGGTCCAACTAAACAAGGGCTAATAAGGACAAAAAAAAACTCTCTTCAACTCCCTCCAATCCTCTTAGATTATCCTCTAAGATTAGAAATTAACCGAACAAGTCCTTAAGGATGTTAAAATTATTATTACATGCCCTAACCTATATAAAATAATGATAAACATACTTTCTAAGTTAAATTTTACTAGCTTTGATCAAGTTTATAGAGAAATAAACAGATGTGAACATCATCAAACAAGATTCATTGGATATACACCATAAAATATATTTTGATAGTGGATTTATTTTCATATTGTAGATGCCAATATATTTCTCTCAACGAAATATTTAAAAGGATTTAATTTAGGACGGAACTAAAACAACTTACAAATTAAGCCGGGTGCAGTGTTTTCTACTATCCACTGTAACCTTGTAACTTTTGAAGTGAAAAATTTACTTGTACGAGGAGAATCGGAAAGGACAAATCCTGATAACAAAAAATTGAGCCGTACAAATTTTAGCCTATATATCTAGTTTAGACAAAGACAATGTTCATACGTGGGGTTAGTGATCGGGAACCTTTCCAAATACAACATAGGTCCAAGTTTTTAGGCAGTAGTAGCAATTTGACATATTACAGGCAAAGGCACCTTAAATCCTATCTATATAAATTTTGGTCCACTTGAAATGTCAATAGCCCGGTAACAAAAGGCTCCATGTACAAAAGCGAAGGGAGCATTTTTTATGTTGACTCCATGCACATTTCGCCAGCTCAAACATGGCTCTCGAACCACAAGTTGGCCCCGTCGCCCTCCTGCTCACTGGCCTCGTCGCCGCGCCGCTCGCCTACTTCCTCCTCCTCCTCGTCGTCGTCGCCGGCGGCAAAAAGAAGTCCGCTGGTGCTGCTGCTCCCACGTCACGCCACGACGTCCGGAGGCTGCCGCTGCCGACGTCGCCGCAGGGCTTCCCGCTGCTGGGCGCACGGCCCGGTGCTGCTGCTCCGCCTGGGCCGCGTGCCCACCGTGGTCGTGTCCTCCGCGGCCGCCGCCGAGGAGGTGATGCGGGCGCGCGACCAGGGGCGGAGCTACAGGGTGGTCCCTGTGGGCCGTGGACCACCCTGCGCTCGGCCCAACCAAAGCCCATAGGTAGAGTTAGGACTCGCTCAGTCGCTCAGGATCTTCCGGTTGCCGCCGTCAGTTCGTCTCCAATCTAATTGTTTGCTTTCCTTATTTCGTGTGGTGTGCGGTGCAATCGTGGGGTACTGGGATCGGTGGACGGCCGCGATGCAACTGCTACTGGCGGCGAGCACCAGTCGGCCATCGCCCATCGGACTCTAACATCGGCATCTCCACGACGGCAAACGCAAAGCAGCAGCCCAGCAGGTACTCTGAATCCTAGCGACTCCAAGACTGAACTGCTGAGCCAACGTTAAATCCTGCTGGCTGCTGAGCCAACGTCTATGATCTATCCCTATTCTCCTTTAGTCACAAGTACATACGTTTCTTCTTTTCCTTTCAGTTTCTTCAATTTCAATATATGATCCGTTCGGTGATCTGCGACAGACAGGAAAAGTGCACAAGCCATAGGGTATGCAAAACTGTTTTTTTTTGTGCAAGTGCAACACTCAATTATTTTATTTCAATATATGATTTTTTGTAGTATTGGATATATATTGAAACATTATATAATTCTCTTGGAGAATTGTTGAAACAAAGAGCGATAAAGTTTATCATTGGTTCTATTTACTTATCAAATTGGTATAGCATTAAAAAAATTTAGACAATGGACAACCATAGCTACAAATCCTGGCTACGCCACTGCATGCGACCTGGCGTTCGCGAGCCGGCTCCGGAGCACCATGGCCGAGCGCCTCCTCTACGACCACGACGTCGCGTTCGCGCCCTACGGCGAGTACTGGCGCCAGGCACGCCGCGTTTGCGTCGTCCACCTCCTCGGCGCGCGCCGCGTTGGGTCCTTCGGCCGCGTCCGGGAGCAGGAGGCCGCCACGCTGTCCGCCCTCGTCGCCCGGGCGAGCGGCGCGGCTGTCGACCTCAGCGAGTTACTCACTGAGTATGCCAACGCCGTCGTGTCGACGAATTTGACTCCGGCCGTCGGCAGAGGAAGGTGATCACCGACTTTCAGAAGCTCATCGGGACGGTGCCGGTCGGGGAGCTAATGCCGTGGCTAGGCTGGGTGGACGGCATCACCGGGTTGGAGCGAAAGATCAGGCGGACGTTCGAGGCGCTCGACGGGCTGCTCGAGAAGGTGATTGATGACCACCGCCCGCGGCCTCGCGGAGGCGGTGGTGACGGCGATGGCCGGGACTTCGTGGACGTGTTGCTGGACGTCCACAAGAACGACAAAGAGCACGGCATCCAACTGGAGACCAACGAAATCAAGGCCATCATCTTGGTAAATCACTAAATCTCCATGAATCCATATAAATATAATATATTGTTACAATATTCGTGGTTGCTCATTTAAAATTTTAAATACAGTATTCAGTTTTATATCCCGAAATCTTTTTCGTGTACCATGCCATGCACGGTCGTCGTCGTCACTTGGCAGGACATGTTCGCGGCAGGCACGGACATGACAACCACGGCGATGGAATGGGCCATGGCGGAGCTCGTCACGCACCCGCGCGCCATGCGCAGAGCCCAGGACGAGGTCCGCGCGGCGGCGGCCGGTTCAACCGGCGTGAACGATGACCACGTCGGGCAGCTCGACTACCTCAAGGCCGTGGTGAAGGAGACGCTCCGGCTGCACGCGCCGGTGCCGTTGCTGGTGCCCCGGGAGCCGCCGGTGGACGCCGAGATCCTGGGGTACCATGTCCCGCCGCGCACGCGCGTGCTGGTCAACGCCTGGGCCATCAGCCGGGACCCCGCGACGTGGGAGTGCGCCGAGGAGTTCGTGCCGGAGAAATTCTTGGGCGCCGCCGCCGCCGCGTCCGTCGACTTCAGGGGGCAGCACTTCGAGCTGCTGCCGTTCGGCGCCGGCAGGAGGATGTGCCCCGGGATCGGGTTCGCGGAGGCAAGCGCCGAGATGGCGCTGGCGAGCTTGCTGTATCATTTTGACTGGGAGGCGGCCGGCGGCGGCGGGCAGGGGAGCTGGAACCGGGAAGGGACTCCGACGCCGTCGTTGGACATGACCGAGGTGAACGGGATAGCCGTGCATATCAAGTCCGGTCTGCCGCTTCTAGCTAAGCCGTGGGTCCCTTAAACTGTCGTCTTTATCACTGGTGGTTGCATGCTTTTTGCACCTGAATTCGCGTCATGGTGTCCGAGGCAACCGTGTTTCTCAGCTGATCGAGCAATAAATGGTCATTTCCCATTCCCTTATAAATATTGTTCTATGTTATATGTTTTGGTGCTCCTATGTTTTTTTTTTCACTAGCAAAATTATCCGTGCGTTGTGACGGGTTAAAGGAAAACATATACCGGCTTTTATTCACTGAAGATTTAGATGTAAAAAAGTGATTGTTTATGTCAAAAGATTAAATTTTGTTTAGTGTGTGAACACCTATGACAGTTGTGGTACGCATCCCTACTATCTCCTCTAGCTCACCCATGCAGGGTACAACGTCCTTCCTCCGTACCTTCTGAAGTGTGCACTCCCACTGCGCCATAGCGTTGCTACTTCAGCGTAATGCGTGATGCATGACAGGGTGCGGCATGGTCAGAACGCCAGCACGAGCAGCGTCCCAGATAGAGCCTCATTGTGGGCGCTAGACCCAACGGGATGCTTCACATGTAGCAGGAGTGCAGGACCAATGAGCCTTCAGAGATTGGAGAGCCCCAGTTGCCAAGCTTGGTTCCGCGCCGTCGCTCCATGGCATCACACTCCGTGAACACCACGCGATTGCCTCACCGCCGTGGCCTTCGAGTCATGGAATCCTGATCTTCCTATCAATGCATGTTTTCTGATGCCGATGCAATGAGGCGCCTCTGCGCGGTGGTGGCAAGACCAAGCGGCGGGCCGAGCCATGCATGCAGATACACAAGTTTTGTAAGTGGCTAATGCGGTGTCACGTGGGCCACCTATAGAGGGAGTATTAAGCCCGCTTGCATCACTATTTGCACGGAGACATACCTGTGACCTGTGGTGGTGTGGCCTCGAGTGCTCTGTACTCCTTTGTTATATACCATTTGTATGTTTTTTCTTCTTTTAAACTTTAACTCAGTCAATATGCATCTATTGTGTATGAAATTTTTATCATAGATTCTACATATCAATAGTAGATTACTATAAAAATTTCATAGCAAAAGGACTACGTTATCAGTTTATGAAAGAAAACATAGATCTATAGCTACACCAAATATTTTATACTAAAGTGTAGACCTATATTCAAGAGGAGTTCAAAAAATTAGTTTTCTATATTATGATTTTTCTATGATTTTACACGTAATTTACAATTTGATGTTTACCCGGAAAAAGAGAAAAACAGAAAAAAAAGGAACCAGCACTTGGGCCACAGCTCAGCCCTGTCCAGTGGCGCAAAAGGCCCACGCGGCAGATTCCAGCCCAGTAGCAGAAGACCCAACGCTTTGCAATTTAGATCTTCTCATCTTTTATTTCTCTCTCGCACTTATCCAACTGGAACCTTTCCTTCTCTTCTATTTCTTTTTCTCGTCCTCTTCCCCAAACCACCGAACAGACGCACCTGATCTCCGGTCGATACGTGCCGGCGGCGATCTATCAAGTACCACTGAGAGCCATCGGACTGGGCCTGGAGATACCAGAGCTCGTGGTTGCCGGTGTTTATTCGTGGCCACTGGCCCCATGTGACCGCCACGCCACCTTCGGAGATGACGCACAAGGAAACGTCGCACCATTGCTAGTCATCATGGATGAGCGCAGCAGCTTCCTACACCGCTGGAGCCCATGCGCTGACGCTGGTCCCACCCGTGCCAGCACCCCGCCCTACTGTTGCAAAGACAGACGGGGGAGACCAAGCCTGAGCGGATGAGCGGCCAAGCTGCGCGGACGAGGAGGCGAGCCGTGCAGTCGTACCGGAAGAAGGCGGGTGGGCCATGCGACGATGCAGATAGAAGGCGAGTGAGTTGGTCAGACGGTTGGGCCAGATTGAATGGCCAGGTTACCTTTTTAATATTATTAGGTAGCTATGGGTATCGATGTAGATGTTTCTCGAAAACAAATATATATATATACACAGAGAGAGAGGGAGAGAGATTTTGCAAAAGTGCTTAAACATGTTTTCATTAATAGAGCAATAGGACCAGCTCCCGTTGTTCCTTCTTTATGGAACAATTTGTTTAGCCGTAACTTTACTAGTTTGAAAAACGTTTGCGAAAACAACTTTACTAGTATTTTTAGCCTTAGCTTAACCTCTTCTATAACCTGCCCCTGACATCCCTCTCTTGCAGTATGTTAGTAGCATCATCTGCAAAGGACTCAAGGATTCAGACGTGATACAAACTGTTAGACATACCAGAATGGCCTTGTCGGAATGGCTAATGACAAGGACTCAAGGAGCATATAATGCGGTTGCTGGGCAGCTTCTCTCAGGTAGTAGGACAACTTATCCCTTGCTGAGCATTTGAAATCCAGGCAGGCGGCACTTTGGTTTTGCCGGCGCTTGATTGGAAGTTTAATGCCACATCACGCCTGACGGAGCGAGCGTTGGAGGAACCTCCCTGAAAGAAGCATCGAGTACTCCGTACAGCGGCGACAGCAGCGCAGAAACCAAAGAGCACCTTAACGATCTGCCGGCTGGTCCATCGTGGGGTTCGCATATGACAGCCGCTTACAGCACCAGTAGCCGAGCAGTAGCCCAAGCTGACCCTTTCTTCCTCGCCTCCGACCCCGCCCGAGCCCGGCACCCCAGCGCGCCCGCGCCCGCACCGCCGCACCGTTGCCTCCGCACGCCTGCCCGCCTCCCCCCCTCTCCCAACTGCGCGCACACGCGACTTGATCTCTGTTGAAGGCGTAGATGTCAAGTACCGCTGCTGCGCCCGATCACGTGAAGCTGCCTCCGGCCGCGACTGAAACCCAACAACCCCTCGGCTCGGGGTCTGGCAGCACGGGTGAGATGGGGCACGGGAAGCGCCCACACCAAGTCGAACACGCGGGTCGTTCCGCCCGCCGCCGACCGGACGTGGAGGGCGGGGGATCGCAGACCTTCGCCGTACCCAAGCTCTTCATCCGTAGGCCTCCTCGTTCTCGGTAAGTCAGCTGTCCGCGCCACACCCCTTTAATTTCCTCTCCATCCATCTCACGGTCATTCCTGCTACGCTACAGCAGCCCTGCTACAGCGCTGACGACCCTGGCGGCGGCGGCGGATTCCGTTAGAGCGGAAGCGGACCCCAGCCCGCCGTCGTCGGTCCTCAGCAGCGGCAACGGGGGCGCGGTGGGCGACGACGCTGCCCACCAGCTGGTGCCAGAGCCAGAACGACCGGTCATCATCGACCTCGAGGTCGACCCTGTCTGTCTCCCTTCTTCTCAGTAAGTGTGCTGTCCGCTCCCCTTGATTTCATTCTCGTCGTCGCCCGTCGCCTTACTATCTCTTCCCCCACATACCACACCACAGGCCAGATTTAGCGCCGACGGATCATCCAGCGTCCGCAGCAGAGTCCAGCAGCCAGGCGGGAACCCCAGTTAACGTGGACGACGCTGCCCACCACCACCACCATCACCATCACCATGTGTTCACGTCGGCATTCGGTGCGAAGAAGCAGCCTCGCGGCGCTGTCCACAAAGCCCTGCAGCTGCAAGCGGCGGCTACAGAAGCCTTTTTGGACGAGATCGCCAAGGAAGCTGAGCGGGCCGACGCGGCGGAGCAGCGGGCCGACGAGATGGCTCAGCGGGCAGCCGCGGCGGAGCAGCAGGCCGACGAGATGGCTCAGCGGGCAGCCGCGGCGGAGCAGCGGGCCCACCGCCTGGCGAGCGAGATAGACCGCTGTCGCACCGAAGCCCAGCGCATGGCGGATGAGCTCGAAAATGCCGTGCACGAAGCCGAGGGCAGCGCAGGAAGCCGAGCGCTTCAGGTTCAATACGGAGAACCAAAGCTTGGCCAGCTGGGGAGCTCGAAAAGGCCCGGGAAGAACTTGAGCCCTCCCTCGCTCCAAATGGCCGCGGGGGAGCTTGACCGCTCTCACTTGGAACTAGGCTCATTAAAAATTCTGAAACTTCTCCGCTAGTCAAAATCTTCTTTCTCTGTGCTCTACTAGGAACCTTTATTATTTATTTTGATGCTTAGTACTACCTACTAGTGGAGCATGTAGTTTTTTTTTCTATCTCGAATACGCAAAAGGTTTGTGCATCATTGTATTAAGATCGAGAAAAGCAGTTTGTTACATCGACGCGCCTCTTGGTCGCACTAGGCGGAGTGGAGCATGTAGTAATTAGGCCAGTCTCAGTGGAGTTTCATCAGAGTTTCATTTGCATTCAATAAGCTGCCACATAAGCGCTTTTAATGATATGGCAACGTTTTTAAGAAGAGAGAGAAGTGAGTTTCGTGGGATGAAACTCTCTTGGCACGATCACCAACTATCTATAAGCCATGAAATTAAATGTCTATGAAATCATAGAATGAAACTTTCCATTGAGAATGGATGTTCCATTCATATTTCATTTGATTATATATGACATGACAATCTTATAAATCACGCCATCAAACTCTCTACTGAGACTGGCCTTAGAGAGGTGGTGTTTCTCTGTTGCATGTTTAAGTTAGGTATCATGTCAACTACTATCCCTAGAGTATTTTAATTAAGAAGAGCTTAATTAGCTTTTGATCTAAATCAACATGAAAACAATTGACAAGCACCATGCTCAATTGACACGAATCTTGAAGCAAGATTGACGACCACACACGTCACCTGAACAAAAACCTAATTTCAGGCGACTTTTTCTTTTCTTTTCTTTTTTGAAAGTGTATTTATATACTCCGTTCCGTTTTTATAAGGCCATAATGTTAACTCCTATAGACAATGCTTCGGTACTCCCGAGGAAATAACTCAAATAAATCTGAAATTAATAAACGAATTGTAGCTGCACATGCTCATAGATGAGTTCACCTGCACCCACGATATCCATCGGTTTTCTCGGCATTTTGCACAAGCAAATAAGAAATCAGATAAAAAAAGACATGTTCATAGATGAGTTCACGTGTCATTGTCTATTATGAAACATGAAAGGACATACTGATTTAGGTAGTATCGATGGAGAAGTCAGTATCGATGGAGAAGTCGACATACTAA